TATCAGTTATCATTTATCAGTTATCATTTATCAGTTATAATTTATCAGTTATCATTTATCAGTTATCTTCTATCAGTTATCAGTTATCTTTTATCAGTTATCATTTATCAGTTATCATTTATCAGTTATCTTTTATCAGTTATCATTTATCAGTTATATTTTATCATTTATCAGTTATATTTTATCATTTATCATTTATCAGTTATATTTGATCATTTATCAGTTATCTTTTATCAGTTATCATTTATCAGTTATCATTTATCAGTTATCTTTTATCAGTTATCTTTTATCAGTTATCATTTATCTTTTATCAGTTATCAGTTATCTTTTATCAGTTATCATTTATCAGTTATCATTTATCAGTTATCTTTTATCAGTTATCATTTATCAGTTATCTTTTATCTTTTATCAGTTATCATTTATCAGTTATTGTTTATCGGCCGTACAACTGTGGCCCGAGAGATTCAGCTGAAAGTCCTGGTGCACCTTTTATTTGAACCTGCAGAGATTTGAACAGCTGATCTGAAGCAAACAGGCAGGAGTTCAACTGAACTGACCACTCCTGCTGTTGAATGGTCTCCTCCTTCACCACCACCACCACCACCACCACCACCACCCACCCACCCACCAATTTCATGAAATTATCCATGAAAGCTAACTGGCTATTATCCATGAAACTAGCTTAAATTAACAGTATTACTTGAAAGTTTGTAAACTAAAAAAAATTAAGTTACCTGGATATGGGTGTCTCTCAGCAGAAGACATAAAACATGCCGGCAGCAGCGATAAAGTTCCTGTATTTCCTCTAGTATTAAAAAAGCAATAAAAAAAAAAAAAAAGAAATTTTGAGCTCCGTTTTTTTCTTCGGCTGAGCGCTGTCATGGTTGCTAAGCGACCGAACATTCACTGACGTAACCCTGAACGCTAGACCTGTCCCAATTCACAGCCGCTGACTTCCGGTCTACGTGGTCTTTGAAGGACGCGGCCTATGTCGACCGGGTAGGCCGGGTCCTTCGAAGGATGCAGCCGTTGGATTGGGACACAGCTACAGACATGCTAGTTAACAAAGCTACAGAGGTAGGAGGTACCGCCCTGTTTCTCTCACGCTGAGCCGTCTCCTCCACCCCTCCCCCGCTCGATACAAAAAGCGCGTAGCACAGACGTGTCTCCATCTCCCCCCCTCCCACCGACAACAAACACGGAAGAGATGAGCGCCTTGCCAAGGCAAGTAACCTAGGGAAAACGCTGCATCTCCAAAACACTACATTCACTATCGCAAAGGGGACATTGGCGCACCACTAGATTAAATTATATTTAGTAACATTCATATCATTTTCAGCAATGTCGCATAAATGATTATTGGGTAAAGATCGTTCAGTTATGCTTGGAAATGTGACATGTTAGAAGCAGCAACGCCCAACCGAGTGTTATATTAGTGTTTGGTGTCTGACATAACTATTGTTTTTATTCAAAATATTTTTGAACTGTAGCATGGTTTATTTAGTTTAATACAGTGCTGCACAACAATAGTATTAATTCAATATTTTCCATCAACCATACAATGGTATTATTTTGATATTTTATTTGAAGACCTTTTAGATACACATTTTAACTTGTTTAAAATTACAAAAAAAAAAAAAACTTATTTTAGTGTTTAATGACCAATATGCTTTTTTATGATTATCACATTAAGTAAAAAAATTAGTTTAATTTGTTTCACAGATTTTTTAATTTACAGTGAAACACGATCTTGCATTAGGTGAGTAGACTGAAGCAGGTCTGGTTACTAATTTAACGTTTAAAGGACTACGGTAAAACAGTAACAGAACAGGAGGTGCACCCACAAGAAGCAGAGACTGAGTTATTGACTAATCAACTTTTCATCTTACTTACAGATTCTGTGCAACTTTAATTCAGGTTTCCAGCTGATAAACAGTCCGCTCTGACCCTCCAGCTCTTCTTCACAATGTGTCCTGTTTTCAGAACCTTCACCTTATGAGTACTGGAGAACCTGTATGTTTCAGTCTCCTGTTCCCCTTTATTCTGTGCAGGTTACGGTTCCCCAGGTCCAGACGGCAGTCCCTCTCTTGGTTACATAGTTGCTGGTCCATCAGAACCTCCTCCTCACTGTGGGTGTTCTAGAGAAATAAACAGGAAAAAAAGAATGAAATGTATTAAATGGTGAAAAAAATAAACACCACCAAAACAAGTGTCTTAAAGTTTTAACAGAAACATCAGCATCAGCAGAGTTCTACACAGTGAGACAGGATCCATCTGAGCATTCAAGTCCTTCTTTGAAGGAATGCATGTCGCCCATTAAGTACCACACCCACCCAGCACAAGGACTCTTCCATCTACTACCCTCAGGCAGATGGTACAGGAGTCTCCCAACGAGCAGGAAAAGACTCAAAGACAGTTACATCGCCTGGCCAATAGGAATGTGCAATATGGCATAAAATTCATATCACGATATGTATTGTGAAGGGTGGCGATAACGATATATATCATATGTTTTTGATATAAAACTTGCAACAAAAAAAAGCATAGGGTGTCCTTTTGCCATCATACATTTTGAATTAAGAAAATGTCACTACTAGGTCCAGAGAGTTTTTAAATAATAAACAAATCAAGTATTGGGCTTCTTTCTTGTAGTGCAAAACAGTGCAAAACATATGAAATGTAATTTTAGCCATGTTTTAAACAAACTTGTTAACTCTTAACAGTTTCCAGTCTTACTTAATAAATGAACAGCAACAGAGCAGCAAGTGAACACTGAAACACTTCACCCTCCAAACCTCTAGTGGGCGCCTCCTCCTGCTTTAATGGAGAGCTGACACAAAATGAGTCTGTGGCTTTGACCAGAGGGTCTCGCAGTAAAATCACACAACACAGCGTTCTTTTACAGATCAGAGAGCAGGTTTCTCTAAAGCTGACCAAAGCTTACTTTAACTTTCGAGGAAAAAAAACAAAACAACTTTTGACGGAACACAGTGTTTTGTGCAGGCGTCAGAATACGACAACACTACGGCAAGCCGGCTGTAGTTAGCTTGTAGCTTCGCCACATAGCTCTCAAAGAAAAGACTAACGTCACTTGCGCACAGTTTTCAGCTCAAAAAAAGTAACGATTAAATCCGAAAGCTCTGATTTTACACTTGAACACCACTCATGCAGTTTTCAACTAAAAAAAAGTAACTATTAAACTGACAACTCTGATTTTACATCAGACACAGCATTACTGCGGTTAGCCGGTAGAAGACAGATCTATATCGTAGGCTAAATTTCTATCGTTTCTACCATATACTGTTTATATCGTGCATTCTTACTGGCCCCCAAAAAAAGTTGCCACCAAAAAAAAGGTCACACACTAATATTTGGTGGGTCTGCCTTTAGCTTTGATTATGGCATGCATTCGCTGTGTCATTGTTTCGATAAGCTTCTGCAATGCCACAAGATCTATTTCCATCCAGTGTTGCAATAATTTTTCACCAATATCTTTCATTGATGATGGCAGATTCTGACTACTGAGCCTTCTCCAACACATCCCAAAGATTCTCAATGGGGTTAATA